GCTCCTCCTGGGGGCGGTCTGTTGGGGTGGTTCCCGCGGCCTCTGGTGCCTTAGGCGCGCCAGCGAGGCCGTTGGCTGCAGGGTGGCGCGGTGGTACGGGGGCTCGGTCGGCGACGCCCGCTAGGCCCCATCTGGGTTCGGGCGGGCTGACACCAATAAAGATTATGCCCCTAAAATTAGAATGTTGTGAGAAGAGTTTATTTTTTGGCAAAAAAACCATTTCCATAAATTCAAGAGGACAAAGGATGGTGATATTTGCATATCTTTTCAACCTGGTTGGTTTTGGAAAAGTTTGATTGCTTGGAATATAGTGTGGAAAAGAGGGCTACTTTTTGCTTATGTTGCTATCTTAGCATGAAACCATCACCTGCGCACCACTAGATTTGGAAATGATGTTTTTTACAAAATATGGTTACACTCACTGAACAACAGGTCTGCCTAATTTTGTAAAACATTTTCGTAGTCAATCTAGTTAGCAAAACACTGTTAGGCGATTGATATGATTTCAACATTCCACGGGAAAGTATGGCTACCAATTTCCGTGTGTATAGCAAGGAGAATGAGATATCGATCTTATAAAGTCCTTCTAACTACACCATTGGATTGTGTAAGGTCATGATGATTTTTTTCGTGTTCATGATGAATCTTCCCCTTCCATCAACAAGGGCAATTTCAGTGAGTTATTAGACTAGTGTAAGGACAAGAAGAAATATGCGAAGGAGCATTTTCGTTAGATGATAAATCCTGCACTTCCATCTAAATTAACATCCAAAAAATCCCCGCGGGTTAATAGACCAACTGGGGAACTTAGTTGGGATGAGTAGTAGTATTAAGTTAAATCCATTCTTTTACTACTACTACCTAGCCGTAATCCAGAAAAAATTGAGCTTATTTTCACTAGAGGTTAGGAGATAATGGCTATTTTTTAAAACAAATTTAAATTTTGGTTGAAGATAAATATGTTTGGGGAATTGGGAATGAGGAGACAGAGTTACAAGTGGTTTCCTAAATGTTTAGTCTAATCACAGTTAACTTTGAACCCACCATCTAATTTGTACCTCTATTTGCCATTGGTTGATGGGCACGCTATACCACTGGAAGAATAATAGTGGATGTCTAGAATAAATCCATACAAACAAGAATCTGTGCTAAGTCTAGAACTTGAATTCAGGTAGTAGGTTCCACCACATCGAATCTAACCTATTGAGGGCTAAGTTGTAAGCTTTGTTTTAAAGAAACAATATAGTGTCCGTAAAACTTATTGGGTATATGTCGAGGAAGACTTTCAAACTACTCGCTTTATCGAGGAGACTTGCTAGCTGTACACCTCACTTTACAACATTAAGGCTGCATTTGGGAGCCCACTTTTTTTTTGAAGTATTTTGTGCAAACTATGGTTCTTGTAGAAACCACCATTTAAATAACTTTGATGTGTTTGTTTTCAACAATTACCACAACGTTAAATCGAAGATCCTCAATACCGTGTTCTTTACAGTATTTGAGAAACCAGAGTATGGTTTTTAGAAACCGAACTGAGAAAACTATGGATTTAGAAATTGAAATGCCTTAAAGTTAAAATTTTCAATAAAATCCTTACTGAAATCGACTGGGATATACTAGAGATACATTAGTCGCCTAGAGAAAAATAGTACTCATATTCACATGAGAGCTTTGCTACAC